TCAACAGCACTCAAATAGATGGACCCGATTTAGAAGTAAACAGCACTAGCCACTCCAGGGCAGAAGCACAGCCTGTGATCACAGAGTGATAATAAGTAGTCATGAACTCAAGGATTTGATTTCCTACATCCCTACCCCCACTGCAAAAGACAAAAAAGTGAAGTGCTGGAAAAGAACCCAAACTTGTTGACTTCAAAACTCAATGATAATGAGGAACCCCTTTATCAAGAGTTGTCCTTTAAACCGAAAGTATCTGAACTAAGAAAACCAGAGTTCTTTTAATACATCAGCTCTTCCTATTCTGCCAGATTTTTGAAGAAAACTCCTGTGGTTAGTGTTGCTATGATTCCCCCTGGAAAAGGGCCCCTAACAGCCTCAAACTCCTCAGGGTGCAAAAAAAAAAAAAAATGTTGGCTTTGGCTGAAGGGACTCAGAGAGAATTTTAATTCATGCAGGGGTTAAAAAAAAAGTGCTTCTTAAAGTTTTCTGAAATAGAAGTTTGGAAATATCAAATGAATGAACAATTAGCAAGAGCTACAAAACATTCCTACTACTGTCATTTGTCTTCTGAGCAGGGAAGGGACAGTATTAGGATACTAAGAATTACATTAAGTTAAACAAATGAGAAAAATTGTACCTCACAATGTCAGTGAACCAAGTGAAAAATAATCTTATTAAGGTTTTAATCAGCAGTTTACTGCTGACACTTTAATCCCTATCTGAAGATGACTGTCATGTAGGAGGTGCTCTTAAAATATATCAGTCAAGGCTCCCTTTAGGTCCCTAACTCCCCACCATTAATAAGGCACCTTCTAAGAACTGCTACAACAGGCCCTTTAGAGACTATGAAGTATCTTTTCCTGGAGCCTTCTCTCTCCAGACAATTAAAAGGTGTCTTAGTTTCCCACATGGCAGCCAGAGGGCCTTGTACCCAAAATAACATTAAAAAATTCTTATCTATCTTGATTCCAGGGAGCTGTGTGGGATCTTGTGGCATTCCCTTTACTTCCCCCCACCTCGCCTTTTTTTTTTTTTTTTTAAGATTTATTTATTTGTGCATACAGAACTGGGTTACAGGCCAGAGGCTCAGGGGTGGCGAGAGTCTTCACCAGAGACAGAGTGGTTTGCAGAACAGGCAGATCAACGAAGTACACTGCTGAGGGGAGCAGTGGGCGGATAAGGAGAGGTCTGCCGTGCCATGTGGTCACCTCTGGGGCAGGCGGGAATCGAACTCATGTGGAAGTGGCTTTAGCTTCTTAGTGCAGCTTTAACCTGCTGCACCACCAGGGAGGGCCCTACTCCCCCCTTTTTTAAATCCATAGCTAAAAGTCATGCTTCATTCATATAACAACAAGCATAGCTAAGCTTTTTATACTCCAGGGTTGGTAAGAAAATGTCATCCCCTGTCAATGCATGTTAAATCATTTTGGTCAGTAGCTAATGAAGAATATACTTTTTCATTTTAGTTTTATGTTTAATCCCAATTCTCATTCCTAAAAAGTAAAAATCCTGTATCATGAATCCTAAGTATAATTTAATTACTAAAGTGAATACTCTGTCTCCCCAAGATGGACAATGCCTTGCTAAATGGAGAAAAGGAAATGCCCTTGACCTGCTCCCCTCAGGATCAGACTCAAGCCAAACCCTGACGAAGGACTAGCCTACTGCCTTTCCCTCTAAGGGCCTACCCATTTGCCCACCATTCCCTTCAGCCCAGGACCTCCTCACTCCCCCCACTCATCCTCTACTTCCTGTGGCCCTTACACAGCTTCATTCTGCAGGAAGAAGCCCTCCTCTTCATTCTTGCACTCCATGAACACTAGAGCAGTGGCCAGAAACTGTGGCTACAAAGGTGGACAGAGTCCTCCCTGTCATTGAGCCCAAATGAAAACTACTAACTCCAATAGATGGTGGCATGAAACAAATGTTATAGGGCAAAAAACACCTAGTGTGAATGGGCATGACATTCAGCGGAATGCTAATTCCAACTTCCAGGCAATGAAAAGATAGAGAAGGTGAGGCTGAGATGATGACAGGTGGGGTCGGAGGATATTCAGTATTAAGAGTGTTGTTGAATTTCTGAAATGATTCAGTTTGGATCAGAAAGAGAATGGAAACAGGAAAACTATAGGAGGCCTCTGAAGTAAGCCAGAGACCAAGTTGACAAAGATGTAAGTACTAGAAATAAAAATGGCTCTCAGGCTCTCAATCAGAATATTCCAAAGGTACTGGCACCATTAATTTGAGAGTCAGTTACTCTCTGGACATACTGGGTAAAGGGGCTTCAGCATTCAAAAGTGAGTGCACACAGTCAAGATGTTCCCAGAGCCAGGAAGTATGGTGGTGAGCATGGGGCTCCTAAGTTCCACTGTATGACTTCAATTTCTAGCTCTTACAAAAAGTTAATGACCTTGGACAAGGTCTGTGCCTCAGTTCCTCACCGGTAAAACAGGGATGCTGATCTTAATTATTCTGTTTCACAGATTTCCTGTGATGTTGATGACTAACATGTAAAGACTTAAACCACTGCCTGATACACAAAAAACAGTATACGCTTTTGCTGTTAGTTTCAAAGTGTCCGAAAGTAACGGGGAGAAGTAAGCAAATAACCTTCACTCTCATCCTTATGACATAAAACGGGCTTGTCTTCCCAGAGACAAGTAATCCAGTTGGAGCTAGTTCTAGACAACTCTCCTTGTAGACTAAGACCCACCATATGTAAAATGGTAGCACAAGGTAATTTACAAATTCTGATTCAAAATACTGCAAAATTAAACTCCAACTGCATGCTTCTCTCCCAGTTCTTCAATCTAGCAATCCTTACTTCAAGCCACTTGAAAAAATGCTTCCAAAATATTCTTCTTTCTGACTTTCCTCCTACTTCTTGTCTAACTCCCCTAGAGCCAAGCAACTTTGTCCATCTATGAAGACTGTACCAGCTTCTGACACAGTAAAATTTTGGCCTTACTCAATTCTGCCTCCATTGGTAATTTTGAAGAAATACACCCAAGTCTTCTCAAGGTACTTTACAGACTGAAAGGTAAACCTACAGCAAAGATGATTTCATATTGTTATGTTTAATAATTACAACTCCATAAAACAGACAGCAGAGTACCAGCAGTACAGCCCTTTTGACAAAAAGTAATCAGCAGTCCAAAAAGGCAGTGACTTGCTTTGTGGTTAATAAACCACAAATAGAGATTAGAACTCATTTCCAGGTACCCAGGCTAATTCCCTGACCAAAGACCTAACCCCCAGCTCCCCCACCCCCACTTGCAAGCTAGGAGGGTGATACAGCCAGCGCCCAAATTCAGGTCCCTAGGTTCCTCTGGATTGGAGGAGTAAAACTTTTAAAACTATTCAAATGTCCTGGAGCCATGATTACCCAGCTGAGAAGACCTCCCCTGGATTAATGACCTTCTAGTCCTACCTTAAGCCAAGAGAGGACAGTGGGCCTGAGAGTTCACACACATGTAAAGGCAAAAAAGCCCAAAGTTGCCACGATCTTGCTGCTTCATAGACATGTTTTTTAAATCAATTGGATTAAAGGTGCACAGCTGAGCCCCAACCCAGAAGTGAGCTAGTTTATCACTCCCTTTATAAACAAAGTAAAATTCGACTAAACCGGCTGCCCTCTGCTCTCTAGCCAGTCAGAGTGAGTAATGTCCTTCTTTACTGGGGGTTCATCTGTCATGACTCTCAAAGTGTCAAGATGGTAGTCCACCATCCTTTCCTTTGCTCTCAGAACACACGGAGCAGGAGGAGGTCGTCTCACCGAACGATAATGTCAAGACATTTAAAAAAAATGTATTCCCACTAAGACACAGAAATTTAAAGTATGTAATTGAGCAACGCTCTGTCTGCCTCACAGCTCCTGACACCGCCTCCGCCCCAGCCTCTTTCTTCTCAAGTCGCTTTTCTCAAGTTCTGGCAGAGGACGGCCTAAAGCCAATCCTGAAATCCGGAGCACTTCAGAAACTCAATTCTCCCCGGAGAGCGCGCCGCGAGTCCAGCCCAGCTCCACCCCCACCACATCCCCCGAGGCGAGGGGGGCAGCACCCCCGGCCGGGCCAGAGGCTCTTTCTTATGTAAATGACCCAGACGTTGAGTGAGCCTGGGCGCGGAAGGCTGCGAGGAGAAAGAGAGTCCGGGCACAGATAGATGGGGCCTAGGGCAGAAAAACTCCATTTTTGTAGTGACAAAACTTTCAAGGGATACGGGGGCAGAGGTGGGGACCGCGCGGTGTCGGTCTTGGAGTAACTTTTAGGTGCAGTAGAAAGTAACACCCAAAGTACCCCTCCTCCTTTTTGGAGGCGGTCCGGGGGCCTCAAGGCTAGGCAGTCGCGAGACAAATCTGGAGCCTCCGGCGCCAGGCAGATGGGGAGGGGGGGTACGCTCCTCGTGGAGCCTCAGTTCCGGGAGGCTCAGTTCCGGGGAGGGGGCGCGGCACGCGGACTGCGCTGCTAGCTTACTACTTTGCTTCCTGCGTGGGCGTCTCCCCAGCTCCACCGCCGCAAGACTGCGGAGAACGAGCGGAAATCACCAGTCCACTAAACTGAGTCCTTCAGCGCGGGAGGGGCCCGGCAGCCCCACGCGGCAGGCGAGCCTCCTTCCCTAGCCAGGATTCTCTCCACGTGCTCCTGCCGGAACTCTGCTACAGAAGGGGCGCTCCCCCTACGTGGGGCGGGCTGCGTAAAACTGAGTGCCCCTCCAGAAACCAAAAAAAAAAAAAAAAGCGCGAGCGCGCGCAGAGTGGCAGAAACAGTCTGTGCGCGAGCCCCGGCGCCTTGCTCGCGCGCTCACGCCAGCCGGTGCCTAGCGGACGTGGCTCCTCGCACCCAACAGTTTCTACTCAGCTCTGACTTTTTCCGCGGCCTCGACCCAAAATAGGAGGAAGCGGGTCCCCAAAGAATCAAGGAGGATCCCCCCGCCCGCCCGACCCCGCAGAGCGGGTCGGAAACCTCGCTGCGAGCCATCTGCCTCCGCCCGCGCTTACTTACCTTCTGCACTTGGTCATGGTTGAGTTCCGTGAAAAAGTAGGCGAGCAAATGCGAGGCGATCATCCTGTCGCGGCCCGACCGTGCCGAGTAGGGGAGACCGAAGTTGGAGTGTGTGAGGGGGAGGAGGGCAGCCCGCTTTGTACCTGGGCTTAGAGGCTCGGCCCGGACGGGGAAACGGGGCAACACAAGACGAAGACTAACGGCGGGTGAGAGCCCGACTGAAGGGTCTCCGGTCTCCAGAAACAGGTTTCTGGAGTCACAAGTGTTGGAAGGCACCCAAGAATAACGCCAGGCGACGTGTCGTGTTGCCCCACAATGAAGGCACTAACTTGAGCCACAGGATCACTAAGGCTCAACTTGGAAAGAATTACACCTTGCCTCCACCAGGACGATCGCACTTCCCCGGCTCACGCACGCGACACTATCTCCAGCGAATCTTGGCTCAGTGACACCGGGGCTGTTTTCGGCCGCCTGGGACTCCTGCGCTGAGTTTCGTGCAACAATGTGGCTTATTGAGGGGCTGCCGGCTCGTGGGCCGTCCAGTCAGTGACGCGCGCGCGCCCATTGGCTGCACGAGGAGGGTGTGTGCGCCCACGGGCCGCCCGCCGCCAAGGCGCGGCCAATCGGCGCGCAAGGCCTGCGGGCGCGGTTGCTCTGACACCGGAGCTCGCAAGTTGGAGGGGCGCGCCCTGGGCGAGGGGCGGGGCCAGCAGCCGGGATGGGACGTGTGGTCCGTGGCAAGAGGCTAGGGCGGAAAGGCGCATGAGCCACTGCTGTGTCAGCCTCGGCTATGGGTGGGGGGCGCGTGATCACAGACCCAGAGTGTGGGGCGACTGGAAAGACAGGTCACCGGACCAGGACGCGCCCTCTGCAGGGAGAGAGCCACCTGGCATTTCGGGGTCATGTGAGGGGCCCCAGCTGCCGGTCACATTTCTGAAGCATCTTCATTCTCACCTTTTGTGGCTCAATGCGTCAGCACAACGCTGAAGCAAAGTGAGGCGACGCAGCTGCTGCTTATTTTAATGCCAAGCACCACAAAACTGATGGTCTGGGGAGTTAACTGACCTCCTTGGACAGTTGAGGAAACTGAGACAAGGGGTCATGAGACTTGCTCATGGTCACACAACTAATTAGTGGGAAATGGAGAAAGAAACCCGACCTAGTCCATCTGACTTAGAGGCCCTATTCTATTCTATTCCTATTCCCTTTATTTCCTATCCTGACTAATAAGGGCTGGGGAAGTGGAAGGCAGGAAAGAAATTGCATGCATTAAAATCTGCATAGTGGAAAACGGGTGGGTGATAAATCCACAACTGAATGATTCTTCAGGATGTGTGGCATGGCATTTGTATGCTGAGAAGAGGGTTGTCCTAGCTATAGATAATGCCTGGCACCACACTCTCCAAACTTAAACATATATATATAGAGAGAGAAAGTATGGAGAGGGATGAAGTGTCACTGGTGTTCTACTGAAGAACAATAATAAACAGTGGAGCAGCATCTGCAATGTGTATAGAAATATTACTATTAATTTATACAAGTAATAAATGTTAATTTTTGGAAAATACCTTTTGGATAGAAGAATTGAAAAAACCCTTAAATAATAATGTAACACATTTGTGAACAAGCATTTGTGATCTGGCTTCTCAACAAAACTTCTTGAAAATAATTGTCTACCTTATTAGACAATTACATATTCTCAACCCCCTTTCCTATATAATCAGGTTAGGGTCATAAACTGTTTTTGCCATAGTCAACATAATAACCTACATGTTGCCAAATTCTCTTATCTCTGTTCTGTTCTTTTCTTCATCCACCTGTTCGGGCTAACACATGCACCATCTGAATATCCATCCTCTATCAGAGCCAGCAAGCTCCACTCTCCTTCCCTCTAACATCACTCTCCAAGTTCCTCTGTCCCTATTTTCTCTAATGCTGGAGTGTTTCCGGACTGTCCTCCACCCTCTTCTTTGATCTACTTACACTCTCTTTGGGTGATCCCTTATGCAGAGGAATGTTACATCACCTACACCAGATGACTCACAAATGTAAATCTATGATAAGGACAGCTCCGGAACGCCAGGTGTATTTCTCCAACTACTTCCACTGAAATGACTAGCAAATCACGCTTCCATGTCTAAAATAGAACTCAACTTTTCTTCCCAAGTCTACTCATTCCCATCCCAGGTAGCAAATGGCACTACCATCTGACCTTAATGATCCTTGATTCCTTCCTTCCAGTTAGTCCATCACCAAGCAATCTGTTTGACCTGTAAAATAGATCCTATATCTGACTTCTCTTTGTGGCCTTGGAAACCCCCTAGCTAAGCCACCAACAACTTGGCCAGAGCCAATACGATATCACCCTATTTGTCCCCGTTTCCATTATATACCTCCATGCTGACGTCTATTGTCTCTTCTTCACTCAGACCAAAGTGAGCTATTTAAAATACACACCATTTTATGAATCTACCTGGCTCAAAGCCATTCAATGGAGTAAAATTCAAGTTCTTGACAGTGATCACTATGTCTTTATATAACAGGACCCTTGCCCAACCTTTCTCATATTTTTTTTCACCAATACATTGCTTTACACTCTCACAAGCATGTTTTATTTGAAAAAAGCCAAACTCTTACTCTGAAGCTTTTTCTTTTCCTTTTGTGGTTTTTTTTTTGGGGGGGGGAATAGGCTGGGGTGAGAAGGTGGTCTGGAATATTCTCCAGATCTGTGCCCAACAACTCTTTTAACTGAAGTTCAACTTAAATCTCACTCCCTCAGAGGACTTCCCTGATGGGTTTATCTCAAGTAGTTGCCCTAAATCACTATCAGTTGGTCATGATAGCTTTCCTAATTGATTTCCTATACTTTCTCTCCTCACTAGACAGAACTACAAGAGGGCAGGATCTGAACTTATGTTATTTGCACATATCCACAGGGCCTAGAATGCTGCCTATCACATGGAAGACAGGAAATAAATACTTGTTAGATAAATGAATTGAAAATATCCTAGATATAACCACTGTCACATATCATATAATACACATACAGTTACAAAAATGAATAATGATATCAAATATTTGAAAATAAATTATAAAAAATAACAGAGAAAAAGCTTGTGGTTTTGTATGTTTTTTGCATTATTTCTTAGATCTCCCACCTCTCCATCTATTCTATTTCACAAACTCAAATCTCTTACCTGATTGCAATAGCCTCATAACTGGTTCCCCTCCTTAGGTAGAGAAACACCATAGATACAGCTTTTTAAGGGCAAGTCCCTTTCATGTAGGTGGGGGCAAGGTTGAGGGAGGCAGTTAGAAACCAGAGATAGAAAAAAGTCAAAGCTATAAGATAGCTATAAGATAGGGTGTCACGGGGGGGTGTGGGGGGGCTCCCTGGGACACATGGTGGCACAGGGGTTAAAGCACAGCACCATGAAGCTATCAGTAGCCACTGAAACATGAATTCAATCCCCTGCCATGGGGAGTGACCCACCTGGCACAGCAGATCTCCTCTGTCTCACCCACTGCTCCCCTCAGCAATGTATTTCAGTCAATCTGCCTCTTCTGTTCCCCACTCTGTCTCTGGTGAATCCTCTCACCCTCTGCACCTCTGGCCTACATCCAGTTCTTATATGCATAAATAAATAAATCTTTTTTTAAAAAATAGGACAGGGGTCTGAATCTAGGTGAAGGTGGGACAGGGAGTCAGGCTATGGGCTTAAATGTTTTAAAATATGAGGCAAATTAATGGCTTTGGCTAGGAGTAGGGGATAAAGATGAGGATGCCGGCTGCCTAGATATACCTGGAAGTCTCTTTGGTTCAGTGTTTTTAAATCCAGGCAGGTAAGACCAGGCAGATGGGGCAAACCCAGGGGTCATGTCAGCTATGATCACTTCTTCACATCTAATTTAAGACCTTCTTCTGTACTCCCCTTTCTGTTCCTATTTCATAGGGGCCAAAAAGTTCTTTAAGCCATGTACCTTATGCATGTCAGCTGTGATCACTTCTTCACATCTAATTTGAGACCCTCTTCTGTACTCCCCTTTCTGTTCCTATTTCATAGGGGCCAGATATAATCAAAAAGTTCTTTAAGCCATGTACCTTATGAAGGTCCTCTACTCCTGAGAGAATAAGTATTCTAAGTACTCACTTAACCATGACAAATTAAAGGTAGGTTACCTACACAGGCTGAGACTTGCACCTGTGACTTTTCTAACTCCAAATTCCATGCCTGAAGAGTTTATTGTTTATTGATTCTCAGCTATTCCTTTCTTTCTCTCTCCCTCCCTCCCCATCATTCCCTTCCCTCACACACACATACACACATATACGCACACTGAAGATTTATAAAACAGGAAAACATGTGATTTATATTCTACAACCCCAGGAAAACCCTTACAATGTCCAGAATACTGCTCAATGCATTGTGAAATCGAAAAGCAACATAGGATATAGTTCTTTCCCCCCAATTAACTGACTTATCAGAGATACGAAACACATAAAACAATTATTACAGAAAAGAAAAATCATGAAGAGCCAAATGTGTGCACACTTTGTATGTGATGATGCTGGAACTTTGTAGGAGGAAGAGATAGAATCACAGGCCAGAGTCAGTCAAGGGTGTTCTTATGGAAGCAAATGCCAGCTTTTGCCCCAAGCTGGCTGCTGTGGTCTCACATAGGACTGACCCGAGTCTTGCCCCAGGGAGCTGTCTTAGAAGAGTGCATTTTGCTCTATCTCCCAATAGCACTTTTTCTATTTCAGATGTATTGATTTCAGTCATGTATATAGAGAATTTTAAGACTGATGGTGGCCCTATCTTAGATGAACATACTTAGCACTTGTATCTTTCTGTCTTTAATACTGGGCTCTAATGGTCTGGATGATCTCTTATGCTGCATATTTTAATTATAAGATATGAATATGGGGGGGGTGGAAAAGAAAGACTTTGAAAAGCAGTTAAAGTGGAAAAATGGAAGCCATAGGACATATAACCACCTGATTTTATCTGTGGATTTGCAAACATTCAAGCTAGTTTTGTTAAGGGGAAGGATGTCCTAAAGGAACTCTGCAGAGTCTTGTGGACTCCACCCCCTTCATTAGTGATTGGAAACTACAACTCCCAGCAGTACCAGGAAGAGACCTGCAAGGACCCAAGGGCAGAGCTAGCAGGAATTCTGGGACATTTGGGGGATAAATAGGGTGGGATTGCATCTCTCACTCCATCTCTCACTCTCTCGCTAGGGAAATGGCTCTCCAGACCACGTGATTCCATGTTTTCAGTCAGCCGAGCCAGTAAGGTATTCCAGTTACTTTGTATCCGGCTCTCTTTCCCGGGGTTATTTCCTATTCCTTTCCCTTTTTGTAAATAAACCCATTATTGACCCTTTTGTTTGTATCTGCAGTGTAACTGAATTGTGAGCTCACGGTTGAGGCCCCACAGACAAGCAGCCCA